CAGTTACCTCACTTGAGGCCCACTTGTGATCAAAGCACACCTCTCCTGCTCTCTCTTCCTCCCAAAATCTCGACCCCGGGTACACAGCACTACAACCCGAATATATTATTGCTCGTTGGTTCAGCATCTTCTTTTGTTCCATTTTGGAATGCATTCTCTCCTATTCTATTGCTGCTCGTCTTATGGCTTTCGATTCATCCGTGTTTGCACAAATCACGGAAAGCTGCGATTTCAGTAAGGATAAATGCCGATGTTTCCAGTTTTCTTTTTGTACTGAGCCTCATACAGTGCTTTCTTATGGGACCCCATTTCTTTTGACTAACTGACCGTTCGTTTGCGATATTTTATTTGGTGCTGTTCCCACACTAATCACTCGTTTTTAATACCTTGTCTTTCGGCCTGTAGTATCGAATGAAACGCACCCAGGTTTGCAACCCGATTTTCTTAATCGAGGAATGCCCATCCATGCGCAACCAACGTATCCCGTTCGAGACGTTAATTCAAGCCACATGCAATAGCCAGGTAAGTGGAAAGATCAGAATATGGGTGGGACGCTATCCGTTGTCCTCGACCCCAACCGACGCCCATACAATATGAACCTGTACTGTCAAGCCTGCTCACTATTCACTTCAATTTTGGTTTCCAGTTGAGAGCTGTGCCGTTTACCTAGATAATCAATATTGACTCTGTCATCAGGCGAGCCAATCGCGCTACTGTTGCACGTGTTTGCGGCACTTTGAATGCGTTCGCGACCAATACATTACATATATGAATAACTTGTACATTACTTAAGTTCTTCATAATGTGGGATCCCGTGATGAATTTGAACAGATAAGGTAGAGGAAAAATTGCGAGAGAATTACTCCTGGCAGTGTCTTCTGATTTGACTTTAGAATTTTTTAATGTGTGGTACAAGTGTTAACCGGTTGATCATGTATAATAAAAAGTAACGTCATCGGACTACTATTAGTAGAAAAGTGATGTTTCATGAAACACTGAAAATTTTCTTCTGTTCTGTTGAGCATTGCACCTATAGTCTTAATTTCTTTCTATCTCTTCCTCTTAGATTATTGACGGCTTTCGAGTTATGTGGACGCGATCGGCGGAAGACACGGTCAATTGGCTGGCCGCGCTGACGAATCACCTACGGGAGCGTGCATCTGTACGGTGCTAAATTTCATCTCACATATGTCGGAATGCCCCTCAAGTGGTCGTTATATTTACTGCCGCTTTCAGTTATCTGTGTGCTAAGTATTGTACATAGTGCACCAACCGTAGACAAGTGGTTTAATTTTTTTGGAATTTGTAATGTGAGGCGTCATTTGCGCGGATACTGCTCTTAAGTCGTTGATCTGTGAATCAGTGCTATGATTCGATGTTATGGGTCCGAGCCGGCCAATACTGACGATTCCTGACAAGAAAACAGGTTTGAAAACTCCTCGGAAGTATATGACACGCTGAGACTGAACGATGGACCGCCGCGAATTGTATTAAAAAGCAAACATCCTGGATTGTTGTTCGTAACCGGATTCCGAACCTGTTCGAGTGTTCAAGCACACGACACGTTTTCGGGAGGTGTTGTCCGTAGACATGCGTGCTAGTCGCGTGTGTTTACATCGTTATTGTCCAGATTTCCTTGAATAACCCTCCAGTTGATAGTTATTTTTCTGTTTAACTGGAGAGAATCTTTTACAAAAAAGGCAATCTCCACTTCATACCGTAATACAATCTGGGAACGAAAGCAACTGTACTGCATAAGTTTCACAAGGTTATCTTTTAGTAGTAATACGTTCATACCCAGAGTATTGATTATAATTTGTTTTTCGCTGTCATATGGACGTTTTCTGGGAGCCGTTGTATTTTCATTGTCACACGACACTTGTCGACAATTTTCTTTCGATACAGTTGGATGTCCGTGTAAGCCTGTCACCGAGTGACCCAAGACCAGGGCGCGTAATGCGTGCCCGAATGTGGTTAGATTTCGTTCAACTGGCACAAAAGTCACCATTACCTACCGTGAGAGATATGTTTGCAAAACAGCTTTTGCAAATCCACGGATTTTCCGGTTCTAAAGTGTCTGCCGTTCTGCTCAAGTATCCAACGCCTCGACAGTAAGTGTAATTCAAACATAACTTTGACCCGAGCATTTTCATCACCTATTTTTCGCATTTGTAATTGATACCCCCCCCCCTTAGTTGGGAATCCGGAATATACGAAGTTGCAATAATTTTACTGAATAGCATCGTTCTTCGCTGTAGTAAAACATTCCTACTCTCCAAATACCGGTAACGTGTTAGACCCCCCCCCATTCTACCACCGATTACTTGTGAAATGTCTTGAACAAAAACTAGGGTGCTAAGCGTCGATATCATACGTGGAGCAATTATCACGGCACACTCAAGCATCGAAAAATTAGTTCATGATTTGAGCTCTGGCGGAATACTACCACGTTGCTTGGGTTAAAGCAGATAAAATTTCCTAGTTTTCACCAACGAAGCCTCCTGGTAGCCAAAACCCAACTTTTAAGAAAGCAGGACTGTCAAAACCGTAGCTCATTGAGGACTGGGATCCGGTCGCACACCGCCCGAACCTGAGTCAAAGATCCAGCTTGACCAACAAACCCCGTCGCCCCAACAGATGGTCATTATAATAGGATGTCTTGGCAGTAGTTCGCATGCCTCATCTTGGAAGGCGTCGAATCAGTTTTTTAGGTCCCTTGTTCATTAACCCATCTTTTCGTCTTATCATTTTAGTGCAAAACACCCGCGAAATCAAACTGTGGTAAGACTTCACAAAAATCCCCACTCATTAACTGGAACGAGGACCAGGGCTTTTTGAGTGACGGGCAGTGAGTAGACTCTCGATACCTTCGACCAACGAGCCGGGGAACCATAGCCCCACGTTTATCAGGAGGGCTACCGGATTTTATATATATGATTAGGCAGGGTGTCGTTCCCCGTTCTGTGGCGTGATTATATGAGAACCATTAGTTTGGTAAAACTGTACTCGCCAAAGTAGTATACGATTGCAAGCGCGCACACAATTTTTCCTAACCCTCATAAAATTTTTCTGCTATTGAGAATATTTATGGTGCCTTCCTTTTTCAGTTTGTTCGAGGCTTATGATGCCTTGACGACAAATTACGAGAAGGAAAACATGCTAGCTTCATTAAAACTACCAGGAACCAATCGGTAAGTGCAGAGCGAAATTTTCGACGTAATGTAGCTACAAATTCGGGGTAATCGTCTCTGTATTTCATCCCCGTTGTTGGTACTGCAATCCGCGTATGTTGAGCACTGACAGACGGAGAGAAAGACTAAGTGCACCTAATTATGTTCCAGAGTTAGGTTAAGCTACTCGACTAAACTGGAATTCCGATTTACACTTTACGGAAAATGATCGTTCGTGTTTCCCAGAATCAGTAGCTACATTGTACACCGTTGTCTATTCCCACAAACGGTTCTTTTTGCTACAGGCATTCCATGCTTAAATCGCTTCTTTTGTTCCAGAACTCTCGGCAACGCACTGAGTCGTCGCATTCACCTCACCTACAATACTCTATGAACTTTACCAACTTAACTTCCACGTTGAATCATCAACCCCCCATGAAAAATCCCCTTGTATATTTTTCATCTTCATTATCATTCATGCAAATAACTTGGTTGTTTTTAGTCACCGGAGGGAACTATTGTTGGTTATGGATAGCAGCGGGTGGAGGTTCCGCTAGTACTCAATGTGTCTTACAGAAATGCCATCAAACGCATGACATTTTGTTCCGTTTTGTCACAGAAAAAGATGCCTGAGCGGATACGTGACATTGTGGGTTGCACCACGGCTCCTTTTTCTGGGTCTAACTCGAATGAAAAATACATAGGATAGTGAGCATACTGGTAAGCGGAATAGACACTTTCCACGAGTAGGGCAACGCAGTACGACGTGGCATCTGCGAAAGCACGGTGTGTGCAGTCCGAACTGAAGTGTATCAACGCGAGCAGAACACTTCCATGATAGAACGTGTGGTAGAGTAACAGAACGCCAAATTCCGTCCGTCAACCACAGCGGAAAATTTTTTTATGGTAGAAACCTTTCAGAAAAATAACACGTAAACCCATACATTGAAACCATAGAAAAGGAGGGTATAAAATAAGGAGGGCGAGTACAAAGAGATATCACATACGAAGGAAAAATTATTGCACCTTCAACTTATCCTTTCCTTTCACTGGAGCTTGGGCAATTGCCGCTGTTTCCTTGGAAAATACCGAGATTATAAAACAGGGAAAAGCAAGAACTAGACCCAAAGCAGTGTAACACGAGGTAGCCATGAGTGGTAAGAACGGAAAACGAGCAGAATAGGCTGAGAATGTGGAAAAGATGTGGGTGATCACAAACAACATAGGGAGCCCGTACAGATGCAAGCGCGCTATACGCACCAAAAGCGAGTCCCTGTCCGATTGTAGCATTGCCCTGCGAGTCTTGGGCACCTCAGGGTTGGGTGAGTGCAGTCGAAACAGGACCAACCAGTGTACTGCCGTGTAGACCAGAAACATGGACACAACGGCTGGCTGTTCTGGAAAAAAGCGTTGCGTTGAAACAGTTATCCTGAAGTGTGAATGAGTCTTGATGTTCTCAGATTTTATGGATTGGGTAAGCACCCGAAATACCAAGGGCACACGAAAAACTTTCCTCGTGCCAAATTTGTTCGTTCTTTGAAAGAGAAAAAAACTTGCCTGATTTCTAAATGCAGCACAACATAAAATCGCGAATACGTGAAACGCTTCCGTCGAGATATAAGATAGATTCCTCAAACCACCATTCACAATCACGCACAGGCTTTGGCTACTATT